CACAGCCGCACCGACACCAGTTTGGACAACTGTTGCTGCACCTCCGGGTCCATGTTCACCACCTCCACGTATCCACTACGGAACCCGCACCTGCCACGACACAACCCACGGTGGCACCGACAGCGACCCATAGGGTGGGGGGATGTAGGGACACGTGGGTGGGACCCCACGGGTGGAGATCCCAGAAGGTGGGGACCCATGGATAGGGATGGATGGATGGATGGGGACCCATGGAGGAGAAGCTCTGGATGGGGAACCACAGATGGAGGACCTGTGGATGGAGACCCACGGACAGGAACCTAACGGAGAGGGACCCACAGATGGGACCCATGGCTGAGGGTCTGTGATGGGAACCCAAGGACGGGAACCTATAGGTAAGGACCCACACACGGGAACTACGGATAGGAGTCCGTGATGGGAACCCATGGACGAGGAGCCACCAGGCTGTGGCATCTATGTCCTCTGAGACCCACAGAGCTGTGCTATGTTGTCCCCACAGGGTTGTGGCATCACTACCCTTCACCTCTGGGACCCACAGGGTCATGGCACCACCATCTCCACCCCCTGGACCCATGGCACCACCATCTCCACCCCTTGGACCCACAGGGTCATGGCACCACCATCTCCACCCCTTGGACCCATGGCACCACCATCTCCACCCCTTGGACCCACAGGGTCATGGCATCACCATCTCCACCCCTTGGACCCATGGCACCACTATCTCCACCCCTTGGACCCACAGGGTCATGGCATCACCATCTCCATCCCAAGGGCTCCCCAGGGTTGGAGTATCTCCATCCCCACCCCTAGGACCTGTGGGGCCATGGCACCACCATCTCCAGCCCAGTGGATCCACGGGGTGGTGGCATCCCCACCTCCAACCCGTGGCATCATCCATGAGGTGGTGGCATCACCCACCACCGGGGATGGGAGACATCCTGGGATGTGGGACACCTTGGGAGTGTGGGGCATCTTGGGGACATGGGGCATCCTTGGGACAGGAGTCATCCCAAGGACATGGCACACCTTGGGAGTGTGGGGCGTGCTGGGGACATGGGGTACACTGGGAACAGGAGCCATCCCATGGATGTGGGGTGCCTTGGGAGAGTGGGGTGTCTTAGGGACATGGGGCATCCTGGGGACAGGAGACATCCCAGGGACATGGGGCACCTTGGAAGTGTGGGGCATCTTGGGGACATGGGGCATCCTTGGGACAGGAGACATCCCAGGGACGTGGGGCACCTTGGGAGAGTGGGGTGTCTTGGGGACATGGGACATCCTGGGGACAGGAGCCATCCTAGGGACCTGAGACACCTTGGGAGTGTGGAGCACCCTGG